CGTACCGGTGCACTGTTTTGTCATCTTCACGTGGGACTCTGCACCTCTGAACGTATTCTCTCCAGTCGGTAAGTTCGTTCAGCCTGATTCAGATCAGACTGGGCCTGCTTGTAGCATTCACATGCCATGCTCAACAAGTTTCCTTGTGTTAGAAAATTTTCCTTGTTACACTCTGTCGAGTAGCCAGTGATTTGTTCGGTTTGAGTGGAGAACAAGGCACCCTCCTGATTATGGAGAACACGAGCTGGAAAACCCACTGACAGCGGCTAGGCTTGCATGCATTCTTCTAAGATTTGTGTGTGTATGTGTTTGTATTGGGTTTCGTGCGTGCATGCGTGTTTGTCTGTCCAGGTCGGGCATCTGCTACTTCTCTGATGTGTTCAAGACGCTGGACTCACGGGTGAGCAAGCCGTTCAGTGTTTGTGTGTGTATGTGTGTGTGTGTGTGTGTGTGATCACGCCTGCTCTAAGTGCAATGATGCAGTCAAATCCATGCTGTATACGCCAGTCATGGTGCTGGGAACACTACACTGTGTAGTCTCGAAAGACAGGTGGTCTCGAAAGACAGGTGGTCCCTCTGCACAGGTCGAATACACTAGTACAGTATGTGGAAATATCTGGTGTGTAGTTTGAGGGAGGTTTCTATGGGCAGGTGGTCCCTCTTCACAGGTCGAATGTACACGGAAGCATGGTACGGGATCTGGGGTAACCGGTCTCTGCGGACAGGTGTTCCCTGCACGCACGGCAAATGTATGTATGTGTGGAAATATGGCATATGGTGCGACATGACGGTGTCTACTAAAGACAGGAATGGCAGTCCCTCTATACAGGTCGAAATGTGTGCTGGGCAGGCGCGTGCCCCGTACGGGTTCCTGGGTGCCCGGAACTCCCCCCCCCTTTTTTCGCTCAAAATGCAGGATTTTGCTTCATTTTTTGAAATTGTTCCCGGGGGAGGCCCCCCGGAACCCCCCCCCCCCTTGAAGGGCACCGGCGCACGCGCGTCTCTCTGTGCAGGTCGAAATGTGTGCTGGGTGTGTTTTGTTGCTGATATAACAGGATGATCATTCATGCTTTGGATTGCTTGTTCGTTGCTCATGCCTCCTTTGATTCGAGCAGGGTGCTGGTGGGACTAACGTCATAACGGACGCCGGGAAAGTCGAATGACTAAAACCAAGAGTCCATAAACAAGAGTATGCAACTGTGATCTCTTTTCTATGGGCCAGATGCGCGGCGCGCTGCCTTCATTACCTCATTCACCTGCAGCCCGCGCACTGCGGAAAATCAAACACCGCACTTTCCCTCTGGTTTGAAATGAACTTTTGCACGGAACTGGAGTTCACGCGCCAAGATTTAGAGATCGCGTAGGTACTGGAACGAATCGAGCAAAACCGGATGGGCTCGTACGAGTAATTGTGAGTTTGAATGCATGCTTTCAGAGCGTGATGAAGGCTAATTACATAATGAAGGCAGCGCGCCGCGCACTGACCCATAACCACAGTTGCATACTCTTGTTTATGCACTCTTGCTAAAACTAATAGCTACTTTAAGAGAAAAAAAGTATAAATAAAATGATACCCGCGCTCCTGTCACAAAACGAATTGGGACTCGTTTGGTTCCAGAACGTTTTCTTGTCACATTCATCAGTGGAATGTCGTGACTGACAGAAAATAGACGACCAACAGTAGGATATAGCCATACATACTTGAGTTGAATGTTACAGTTATAGTCTCAGCGTCGCCTTTTGAAGTTTTGGCTAAACCTGAGCCCTGGATGCTTTGATGTATTTGCGACACAGATGTGCAGTAATGTTGAGTCTACCCTCCAACTGCTGATGGAAGACCTGAAGACGTGGTCGTCAGCGGGTGATGCTGGTATAGAGCTCTGCTCAACCATGTTCAAACTCTTCGTGACCGTTCGACAGCTGCTCAAGTACTTCAACATGCTCGAGGAGAAGTTAGTGCTCTTTGTGTGTAGAGTGTGCTTTTGTCTATGTTTAGTCTGTCTGTCTGTCTCTCTCTCTCTCTCTCTCTCTCTCTCTCTCTCTCTCTCTCTCTCTCTCTCTCTCTCTCTCTCTCTCTCTCTCTCTCTCACACACACACACACACACACACACACACACACACACACACACACACACACACACACACACACACACACACACACACACACACTAAAAGCACGCCCCGTGCACTATCATTGTACCGGCTTCTTGTCATACTGCATACAGAGACAGAGCAACAATGGAGCTGCAGCACTACGCGGAGTGGTTTCAGCCAGTGGTCGTGGTGTGGTTTGAAGTGGCAGAGTACAAAGCACTTCAGATGGTGGACAAGGCGGTGAACCTTGACAAGGTGAGTAGTTGAGCGTACGTTGAGCAGCTTGGTTGGATCTGGGCAGGTCCGGGGTAGGGGTGGAGTGTGTGTGTGTGTGTGTGTGTGTGTGTGTGTGTGTGTGTGTGTGTGTGTGTGTGTGTGTGCATGCGTGTGCATGTGTGCGTATGTGTGTATGCATGCATCTGGAGGCAAGGCATATCAATCATGTCCTGTATTGGATGAAGTTAAGTATGTATGGTAGTTTGCTCAGCTCTTGCTTGTGCGTTACAGAGAATGACATACATTGCATGCACAAAGTGAGTTTGTGGGTTTCGGTGTGTGTGTATGTGTGTATAATCTGCCCTTCAGGCTGTGAAAGTAGCCAGGGGTCTTAAGTACAGCACAAGTGCAGTCGATATTGGCAACACAGTGGCACAGGTGAGTAACCTTATTTCAATCCGTATTTGGTAGGATTTGCTTGAACTGAATTTTGATTGAAACATTGGTAATTTGCAGCGAAGAGACGACTTGATTTGAGGATGGTGTGTAGGGTTTTCATGTTATAATTATATTGGCTGTAGTGGAGCTTGCGTACCATGATTTCCCTTGGCAATTTCAAAATCACTTGCACGCACAGACAGGCACACATACACACACACACACACACCTTGAACCTTGAACGTGCCCATTGCCGATGGCGATGATAGCGAAGGGGCAATCTACGACTTCAAAGTAGCTTTACACACACAGACACACACATGCACACATACACGCACACACGCATACCCACTCACACACATACACACGCACACACACACACACACACACACACACACACACACACACACACACACACGCGCACACACACACTCTCTCTCTCTCTCTCTCTCTCTCTCTCTCTCTCAGTAAAACCACTTGAAAGTACATGATGTGTATCGTATCAGGGTTCTAGCCAAAGGGAGGTAGGGGGCGCAGCGCCCCCCTACTCAGTTTGTGCGCCCCCCTGTGAAAAAGTGCCGCCCCCTACTCATTTTCCGATTTTTGTGTTTTTTCACGCCATTCAACGAAAATACAGTCGATAGTCACTACTAGAGGGTTCATAAAGGCACATTTGTGAGGGGTGATGTTGGAGGTTCACTCTGTATGTTGAATTTTGCATGGCAAGACAATTTTGGACAATGGAAAAAATGGGTCATGGGGTAACTTTTTCCCATGCCCGCCCCCTACTATATTGACCTGGCTAGAACCCTGTCGTATACATTTCAATTCCCGAACGAAGGCCATGAAACGTTACGTGCGCTTGCTTTGACATCTCATGATCTGGTTTTGTAGATGGTGAAATTCTGGAAGCAGCTGGACTGGCCAGAAGCCAAACATCGCTTTGCATATGTTGTCTTGGTCCTGAATGTGAGTAATAATTGGAGCTATTCGCGGCGGTTACTGCTATTGGTTGGTTTCATCAGTGCATGCACTTATCCTCTTATCCCTGTCCTCTCTTCAGTATATGACACTTGCATAGCAATGGACTGTGTTTCAATGGGAACAAGTATGTAGGGGCGTGTTGACTCATACATGATCAGCGTGAATTTGACCTTTGGCTGTTGAAGTCTTGTCAACATCTAGTGTGATTGTGTTGCTGATTATGTGACCATGTTTGTGTGTGTGTGTGTGTGTGTGTGTGTGTGTGTGCACGTGTGTGTGTGTGTGTGTGTGTGCCTGTGTCTGTCTGTCTGTCTGTGTGCGTGTGTGTTTGTGTGCGACCATGTGTGTACACGTGTGTAGAGTGTTCACAATGTGGTGAACAAGTATGCCGAGCACGTCATCAAGAAGCTGGAGAAGGTCAGCTTCTACGACGCGGAGGGTCAGTTCGACGTGTCGGAAGAGGTACGTGCTACACCCGGTATCAAGAGTTAATAAGCTCCCAAGAGTGTGCAACTCTGCAGACAGGGTCTCTGACAGCGAAATCTGACATCGCGTGCTCAAAGTAAGACATGTACAATCTACAACGAAGGCTAGCGTGCGCGCAGTCCGAATATCTGCCAGGGTCATGCTGATGACTCGCATACGCTGAGTGGGTTTCCGTCAGGGAGTGCTATTTTTACTACTCTACTGGTCGCTAAAAACAGGCTGGGAATGTACAATGGGAATACTACACCGCGTGATGTGAGTTTTCGCCGTGGACCCCATAGAAAGGGTACTAGTATCCAGAGTTGCACACTCTTGGGAGCTTATGTACTCTTGCGTATACCGTAAAGTCACGGATAAAAGCCGGGTTTGCATACAAGCGCATCGCGGATAGAAGCCTGAAAATCAAACGGCTCAAATGCATATAAGCCTGTCGCGCGTAGAAGCCTGGCTTCTATGCAAGCGCGGATCGGGTAGGTCAAGAGTGCATGCGCTATGTACGGTGCATAGTAAAACTGCCGCCATACCGGTAGTCAGTGGTAGATCTACGCGTGTCGCGCGTAGAAGCCTGGTTCTATGTGCATACAAGTCTGGCAAAAATATCAGTGGTGCATACAAGCCTGGTTTGCATTAAAGGGGAAGTTAAGGCTAAAATCAAAATTTCACCAGTTGTAGTCTTCGGGGTGCTGAGTCGAATGGTCGTGGTCCGAGGAAGCTGAGACGCTCCCTTCCTACTTTAATCCCAATCGAACTCGCGCACTTCCACCGAAACTGGGTGACTGCGCCCTACTAGATGGGGATTTGTATGCAAAATGTCGCTAAAAGCGCCATTTCGTTCTTATAAAAGCACGGATGACCGCGATTGGCCCATATGTTGAAGTCTTTTGGACGCTGAGTCGACTGGTTTTGGTCCGAGAAAGCTGGGATGCAGCGTTCCTCCTTTATTCCCAATCGAACATGGTTGAACAAGCGGTCACGTGCTCCTGCGTGCCCAAGTCACCTGGTCACAGCGCCAGCAGGCGACAACTTTCACACCAAGGTTCAACTCGAGTGACAGGACTGCACCCAAAAAAGGTCAAACAGGCTAGTAAGTTGTACCCTGCAGGCACGGTGACCAGGTGACTGGTGTACGCAGGAGCACGTGACCGCTTGTTCAAGCATGTTCGATTGGGAATAAGGGCCGAACGCTGCATCGCAGCCTTTTCGGACCAAAACCAGTCGACTCAGCGTCCAAAAGACTACAACATATGGGCCAATCGCGGTCATCCGTGCTTTAATAAGAACGAAATGGCGCTTTTAGTGACATTTTGCATACAAATCCCCATCTAGTAGGGCGCAGTCACCCAGTTTCGGTGGAAGTGCGTGAGTTCGATTGGGGTTAAAGTAGGAAGGGAGCGTCTCAGCTTCCTCGGACCACGACCATTCGACTCAGCACCCCGAAGACTGCAACTGGTGACATTTTGATTTTAGCCTTAACTTCCCCTTTAAAGCCTGATGCAGAAAGCGGCGTATATGCTTATAAGCCCGGCTTTTATCCGCGACTTTACAGTATGACATTGTACTAGTATGTACAGTGTTGCTCAATGAAATCCAGTCACGACACTCATGAACGCGCCGGGCGTTGCACAGCCCTAGACCTGCGAACCCTGGGATTCGAAATGGTGCGAGAACTGTGTATGTTGCCCTAACAGCGCGATACTACGGATTTCTCCAAAAAGTGGATAATTGAAGAGTTGTGTTTTGGCCAGGTTTTCCACAGTCAGGACAGGTTTACCATCAGTCAATGTGTAGATTTGCTAATCCCAAACCAATATCCGGCCAGATTATATTATGGCTTTGATTCGAATTTGGTCCTACAGTAAATCACTGAATGACCATGCTAGTACAGTAGAACGCCGATTACCCGGACATCAACGATCCAGATGATCGATTATCCGGATCACCTGGTCGGGCTGGACAAAAAATAATTAGCAGGTTTTTCTAATTTGTTGCTGTTTTCCCCACTCGGAGCACAATGTGTACGTGTGCGTTGGTTGGTGTGTGTGTGTGTGTGTGTGTGTGTGTGTGTGTGTGTGTGTGTGTGTGTGTGTGGCTTTTTCTGGCCAGAGAATCCCTACTTTTTGGTGTTTTTCATTTTTTTCCTGCACACACATCACACCACATACTCCGGCATGCACTGGCTGTTGGTAACCACCCAGGAGAATAACTGGGTGGTGTAGACCAGGCTGAATAGTGGCAGTTGATTCTTCAGCCTTGCAGGCTGTTGAATGGTGTAATCCCAGCACAAGTTGCTATGGCTCCTGCTGTGGCATCGCTATCATTGCCTCCGGCGATGGGCGTCGAAAAGGTCAATGCTCAAAAAGGTGGCCAGTCATTTCGATGGCGTGGGTTCGAATCCCACCACTGCCACCACGTGTAACGTTGGCCTGAGGTTACAAATTACACTCACAGGATCATAAACTCCCCAGCCCCCAGCCAGGCACCAGTTCCAACCATGACAAGACGTCGAGATCAAAACTGCAACTCTCAAGTCCAAAAACATTCTCAAGAACCAAAAGAAAAAAACAGCATCAGAACAGAGCGAGCCAACGAAAGGAAACGCATGCGTGTGTGCCTGTGTGTACGAATGACGTATGCATGCATGTCATGAAGTAGAGTCACATTCTTAGCTATAATTAAGAGTGGAAATATTACTACGCCAAACGAAACATGTGCAACATGTTACATGTGTGTGTGTGTGTGTGTGTGTGTGTGTGTGTGTGTGTGTGTGTGCGTGCGTGCGTGCGTGCGTGTGTGCATATGTGTGTTCAATTTGGCTGTGTTTGTGTATATAACAGTTGTGTGTTGTTCAGAACAGTCTCGATCACGTAGCCGAGTGCATGGACCGAGTACCAGCTGATCTGGAGTGGGACAAAGTGGCTGATGATTATGAAGGTTATGAGGTAAAAAGAAAAAAAAAACAGTAGCGTTCTTATTGGTGCTGCTCGCTTCCTTACGGACGTGTGTGTGTGTGTGTGTGTGTATGTGTGTGTGTGTGTGTGTGTGTGTGCGTGTGTGTACATGTTGCGTACAACATTTTGTTCGGAATTTTCAATGTGGTACTCGCGTGTTTGCATCTCCACTCTCATTACTGTAAAACACGATATTTTCGGTGTAACTTTAATTTCGGTGATTTCGGTAGAGAAACCAGGCACCTAAATTTAAATTACACCTAAAAGGCACCAGAGTATGCACTGTATGTGAAGGGAACGCTGGTCACCTAATTCTAACCTACACCTGAAACCTGGCAGGTTCCTGACACCGAAATTTTAATGCACCTAAAACTACGTGTTTTACAGTATCCGTCACTGTGTGTTGTGCTGATTTGCAGAGAGGAAGTCGAGACAAGGCCCACAAGATGTGTGAACAGATGGTGAGCAGCTTCCATGATGACATGAACAACAAGCGCTCTAAGATCGTGGAGCGTATCACGGATCGGGTCAGTGTAGTTTGTGTGCGTGCGTGTGCGTGTGTGTGTGTGCGCGCGCGTATGTTTGTGTGTGTACGTGTGCTTCCCCATGTCCGCGGGCTGCGTGAAGACATGAGTGTGATTTGGACGGCGATCGGTAGATTCCAACATCGGCAGTATGGCTTGAGAATGAACGAGCATTTGAAATTTTTTAAAGTTCGTTTGAATCATTTCACTCCCGGCGTGTGCCTTGATCCTTGAGGGTGGTGGAGTTCCTACGGATGCGGTAAACTCATTCTGACTGGGTCTCATGTATTAAAACTGAATTTTATTCCCGTAGCTATGCAGAAGACGTTACTTCAGTAACGTCTGGCGCTAGCCAGGGTCCACACAGCTTTAATTCCCGTAGCTATGCAGAAGACGTTACTTCAGTAACGTCTGGCGCTAGCCAGGGTCCACACAGCTTTAATTCCCGTAGCTATGCAGAAGACGTTACTTCAGTAACGTCTGGCGCTAGCCAGGGTCCACACAGCTTTAATTTGGTGTTTGTTTGTTTGTTTGTTTGTTTGTTTGTGTCACGCCTGGCGCTATCCCGTATCTGTACCGTACTGTACCGTACCAGCAAAGACAGCTGGCTACTATATGTTTGTTTGTTTGTGCCATCGACATGCCTGGCGCTATCCCCTACCTGTCCCGTACCATCAAGAGTACGGTACGAGGTCATTTGCTATTTTTGGACACTCAAATTAAATAGCACCCCATTATGTTGGTTTGTAAAATAAATTAATTTTTTTTCTTGCTTTTCTATTGGCACACTTATGCTTTACCACCACCACACACACCTGAAGGCTTAGAGTTGAAGTGTGCGGCCACAACTTGACCTGATCAAAGGTGTCTTTTTCTACTGCTTTTTCAATGCGAGCAATTATTGGACAACAAAATTAAATAGCATCTAGCAGCAGTCTGCAGTGGCGTGGACAAGTAAAACTTGCACAGGACATGAAAATGGGGTAGGGCTATGCCTTTGAGACCGGCTGATATGAGTTCTAATGACAGGCCGTTCGTAGCAAGCTCTTCAACGCTTTGACACACAATTAAAGGGTCACTCAAGGGTTTTCATGGATGTCATATTCAAGAACAGAGGAGAGCACTCCAGTGTGATGCATCTCCTTCTCATATTTCGCAAAGAGTGGAGGGGTAACGCCGTAACTAGCCGCTGCGTCCTTCTTGGTTAGGAAGTGTTCACTGGTGCCAGGTGAGTGGAACGCTCGCACTGCTAAAAGAGATTTCTCCTAACCAGAACCCCTCGACAAACGCACCGGCTGAGAAGGCGAGGAGACTCTTCCAGGCAGATTCGAGGTGGAAGACGTAGTCTCTGGGGTTGATGGAAGGGATACAACATTCCCCATGTCGACATTCTCTCCGTCATGCGACGTAGAGTCGACGGAATCCTCCATCATTAGTTATTTAATCGAAATTTTCAAAATTACCCACTACATTACCTAAGAATAGTAAAGAAAACGCCCAGAAGGAAACGGCTTTCGCCGCAAAAAATAGGCACGAAGAAACGTGAGGACCACACGAAGACACTCTTGTCAAAGATTTGTCCACCAAGGAAAGCACAACGACTCAGGAGGCCTCTACTTCCATATTTAACTGATTTGTCCAAAAATTGCAACATGTCCAAAAATTGCGAATCACCTCGTACCATCAAGAGAATGAGTATATATGCGAAGTGTATCGGGGGAAAGCATTCAGTGCAGTAACATTTTGTGTGGATTTGTGTGCGAGGCCGAGAACCCACTAGCAGGCTGGCTGGTCCGCCTGTCGACCAGCCCGGGGATCCCATGTAGGCTGATAGCATAATAATTATAACGTATCAGATTGAGTAATTATAACGTATAAACAGTCATGTAGATCTATAGCAGGGAGTCATATTATGTAAACGACTCCCAGCTGTATGGGGAGATTTTCTGAAAATAAATACGAAGTGGGGAGACGAGTGAATGCAATCAGAAAATCTTACCATACAGCAGGGAGTACTATTATGTAAACGACTCACTGCTGTATGGGGAGATTTTCTGAAAAAAATACGAAGTAGGGAGACGAGTAAATGCAATCAGAATGGATGTTAGTTGCCGTCAGTATAATAATAAGAAGAAGAAGAACGTCCGTGATCGGCAGAGTCAGCGCCGGTCCCAAAAAACGTCAGGACAGACATCCCGTCGACTCCAGAACGCCCGTGATCGGCAGAGTCAGCGCCGGTCCCATAGCTATGCAGAAGGCGTTACTTGTACTTCAGTATCTCATTGAAACGTTTTTGCAATACAATGATGTAGCTAATCAAAGGAAAAAGCATTTCCATCAGTTCTAACAACATGCACGATGAGCTAGGCAACAAAGCATAGCGCAGGGCCCTGAGCTTCCAAGCTCTCTCGTTTGGTATTTGTGTGTTTGTTTGTTTGTTTGTTTGTGTCACGCCTGGCGCTATCCGTATCTGATGGCAAAAAAGCATAGGATGTTATAAATTTTTCAATTCTCCTATTTTTTGGCATATCCTGGGATTCGAACCCGCACTATCGACTTACTTCGAAGTACATGCATTCCCCCATACACTTCGCATTCATACCCATTCTTCCAAGTTGCTTCACGTTATTATCTTGCGTTTGAAAGCCCTATTTGAATATTGCGGGCAGCTGTATGTGGCCAGCTGTGTTCTATGGTAGGGTACGGTACGGGAGACGGTGTCGTATTACCCTCGATCGTACCTGTCCCGTACCTATCCCCTCCCGTACCGTGCCATCAAAGACGGCTGGCCACATACAGCTGCCCGCAATATTCAAATAGGGCTTTCAAATGCAAGATCACAATGTGAAACAACTTGGAAGAATTAGTATGTATGCGAAGTGTATCGGGGATGCATGCAGGGCGCGCGATAGTGCGGGTTCGACTCCCAGGTTATGTCTTAAAAAAAGGATTTTTTTTTAAAATTTATAACATCCCTATGCTTTTTTTTGTCTAGGTCATCAAGGCAAAAAAAGCATAGCGTAGGGCCCTGAGCTTCCAAGCTCTCTCGTTTGGTATTTGTGTGTTTTTTTGTTTGTTTGTTTGTTTGTGTCACGCCTGGCGCTATCCCGTATCTGTCCCGTACCGTACCATCAAACACAGCTGGCCACATACAGCTGGCCGCAATATTCAAATAGGGCTTTCAAACCCAAGATCATAACATGAAGCAACTTGGAAGAATGGGTATGAATGCGAAGTGTATGGCGGAATGCATGTAGGGCGATAGTGCGGGTTCGAATCCCAGGATATGCCTGAAAAAAAAATAGGAGAATTGAAAAATTTATAACATCCCTATTCTTTTTTTGCCGCCATCAAGGCGGTAGACGGTGTCGTATTACCCTCGATCGTACCTGTCCCGTACCTATCCCGTACCTATCCCGTACCTATCCCGTACCTATCCCGTACCTATCCCGTACCTATCCCGTACCTATCCCGTACCGTACCGTACCATCAAACACGTCTGGCCACAATGCACATTAAAATAGGGCTTTCAAATGCAAGATCGTGAAGCAACTTGGAAGAATTATTATTGCATGTCACGTGAGGGTTGCCTGTACTACAGCCAATGAGCGCTCTTGCTCAGCGGTCTGTATTTCTCGGTATTGCCCGGCAAGTTATTGCCCGCTCAGTTACATGTACGCGCATGCGGACTGTCATTCTTGTACTTTGTGGTTCGTGATCAGATCAAGTTGCTACAGTTCGGACTTTCAAATTTGAAACACAAAACAGCAACTAACTTGATCTGACTACAAACTACAAAGCACGAGAATGACAGACCACACGCGCGCGCATGTAACTGAGCTGACAATAACTTACTTGTTCCAGCCACATGAACCAGCCGCCTCAGCAGGTGAATGCAACCTTGACATCGATATCGATGCGTTGGTGAGCAGCCGACGAACTTGACGAACTGAATGCGTTTGAGACGAAGTTGTGGAGCCCATCCCAGTTTCAGTTCCTGTTCCAGGACTTCCTACACGCAGTGCTCAATCACGAACAACAACACCATCGATATCGTAAAGAAATAGAGAATTTCAAAACCACAAACGATGTTTACCACTGAACAAGTGTGTCGGGAGACTGAGAAAGTCGGAAAGGTTTCTCTCCATTTTCTGGAATGTTTGGGTCAAGCATGCAATAAATGATTTACTGCGCCTCGTACGCACTCGTACACGGGCAATACCGGCTTGATACATGACCTCACGGCTGGCGCCGTTCGGTCATGTATCAGCCGGTATTGCCCTTGTACTCGTTGGTACTCGTGCAGTAAATCATACGTATGTATGCGAAGTGTATCGGGGGATGCATGCAGGGCGCGCGATAGTGCGGGTTCGAATCCCAGGTTATGTCTTAAAAAAAGGAATTTTTTAAAGAATTTTTAACATCCCTATGCTTTTTTTTGTCTAGGTCATCAAGGCAAAAAAGCATAGCGTAGGGCCCTGAGCTTCCAAGCTCTCTCGTTTATTTTTAAAGAATTTGTGCACTTGGATGTCAGATTTAACTCGGATACCCTGTTATCGCACTTTCTGACCGCTTATTGTCTTGTTACAGTCGTGGATATTTGCTTCATAACTCGTTTCCATGTGATTTTTTCTACTTGGATGTCAACTTTTCATTTTGTGTTTTCCCTTGTGCTGCTTTACATACACAGATGGGCAAGGATATTGTGTCGCACATGACTCATTATGTGACGGAGATTTCGGACGGAAAGGACCGTGTTCAGGTTAGCATTGCGGTGCCCTGCGCGTCCAGCCGAGGTGTTATGCCAGTGGCAGGTGGTGTAGCGACGTTGTGCTGTGCTGTTGGAGTGTGTAGCGGTGGTGTGCTGTGCTATTCGGGGCAGTTGTGTGTGTGCGTGTGTGTGTGTGTCAGTTTTCTGACAGTTCGCCGGAGTCCCTGGAACGCCGTCCTACCCGCCATGAGTTAGATAACCCGCCCACGCACCAAGAAATTGGCCGTGCTCTCAAGAAGCTGAGCCTCGGTAAAGCTGGTGGTGAATCGGGCATATTGCCAGATATGCTAGTCCACCCTGGAGCAGACTTTCTTGCTGCTTTCCACCAACTCTTGGGCGACATCTGGGCCAAGGGTTCAGTAATGGATGATTGGCGGAATGTGGTGGTGGTTCCCGTCCCCTAGAAAGGTGACCTTCGCTGCTGCGACAACTGGAGGGGCATCAGCTTGCTGGATGTCACTGGAAAGGTGTTTGCCCGGGTTATGCAGGACCGTTTGCAGGTTGTGGCTAAGGAAATTCTCCCGGATTCCCAGTGCGGTTTTCGGCGAGGTCGAGGTTGCACGGACATGATCTTCTGTGCACGTCAACTAGTGGAGAAGACTATTGAGCACAACATCTCTCTTTACGTCTTGTTTGTAGATCTCCAGAAGGCATATGACTCCATCCCCCGCACAGCGTTCTGGAGTGTGCTGGATAGGCTGGGTGTTCCGCCGGTTATGTTGGGACTAGGGGTGAAACGAGTATCTATTTTGACCAATCGATCACTCGTTCATAATATTCGATTGAGTATCCGATTATTTCGAGTATTTTATCAAAATTCAAAAGCACAAGATTTGCGAGTTCTCGACCAATTCGGAAGAAATTATCTGTGAACATAGAACAAAAGTCGCCAATGTCTTGTACAGAGTGTAAAGTAACGATTTTCATCAGTACTTTTATATCTCAGAACGTTACTTGCCGTGGTGATCGCATCGTCCAAGTCTTAAAATACTGACTCAAACCATGCATAACGCATGCATACCAGTGGACCAGCGGTACAACAAAAGTTTTTGAAAAATACAATGCCAATACTAAAAAAAAACAAAAAACAAAAAAAAACGATCGAGTGCAGAATTTCGAATACTCGCTCGTTTGAAATTTTCGAACGAATACTCGAATATTCGAACTAATCGTTTCACCCCTAGTTGGGACTCATCAAGTCCCTTCATGAGGGTATGATTGCGAAGGTGCGAGTCAACGGTAAGCTTTCCGACAACATCTCTGTGACTAATGGGCTGCGTCAAGGATGTACCCTAGCGCCCACCCTCTTCAACCTGTATTTCAGTGTGGTGGTTGCGGACTGGCACATATGTTGTCCAGACGCTGGAGTTGACCTGCTGTTCAGGAACGGTCGCAAGCTGGTTGGGGACCGCACGGCGAAGTCCCGGTTATCCGCCACGAGGGTGACTGAGTCCCAGTTCGCGGATGATGCAGCGTTGTATGCAACCACCAGTGAGAGATTTGAGTGCATGACGTCCGAGTTCATCTTGTGTGCACAGCGATGGGGACTGACCGTCAGCATTAGAAAGACGAAGGGCATGGCGGTGGGTCAACCAACATCAGTTGATCCTGTTCAACTCGATGGTGACAGGAGGATTGACATGGTGGACGGGTTCCGGTACCTTGGCAGCGTGCTCTCTGCTGACGGAACGGTGGATGCGGACCTCACTGCTCGTTTGGCGCAGGCTGTTCGGCGTGCTCAGGCCTCCGATATTTCAGTGCGTACATCTCTCGGTCCACACCAAGCGGCTGGTGTATCGTGCTATTGTCCTTCCTGCTCTTCTCTACGGTGCGGAGACATGGCCCATCAAAGCGGATCATATTCGCCGACTCAACGCCTTTCACCATCAGTGTTTTCGCACAATTCTTGGTATCTCTCGTCGTGACCAATGGGAGGAGAGATTGTCATCGGCATCGCTGAGTGAGCTGGCAGAGGGGGACGTCGACATGGCCGATGTGGTCAGGAAGCACCGCTTGCGGTGGCTTGGTCATGGTACACGGATGAAGGAGACCCGGCTGCCCAAGCAGATGCTGTTCGGCGAACTGTCCTGCAAACGCCCGCAAAATGGTCTCAAGAAGCGCCGGCGGGATGTTGTGTCCTCGGACTTTACTGTCATCGGTTTGTCTGAAGCGGACTGGTATGACACAGCGCAGGAGAGATCCGCCTGGTTTCAGTGTTGTCGACAGAGGGTCGAGTAGGAAGCCCCAGACATCCCGTGCCCCAACTACCGCTGTGACAGAGTGTTCCGCCGTCCTGGTGACCTCAAGCGGCATGCGCCATAGTGCAGATTTCGGGTTTAGAGCCTCAGCGTGAGGAAGCCATCGCTATCATTGCTACGGCAATGGGCGTTCAAGGTTCAAGGTGTGTGTGCATGTGTGTGTGTGTGTGTGTGTGTGTGTGTGTGTGTGTGTGTGTGTGTGTGTGTGCGCGCGTGCATGTGTGTGTGTGTGTGTGTGTGTACGCGCGTGTGTGTGTACACGTGTGTGTGTACACGCGCGTGCATGTGTGTGTGTGTGTGTGTGTGTGTGTAAAACATGAAAGTTGAAGAAGTTTTTCAAGTTCTGATATCTCCTTGATAGTGTGCATAACGTTAACAATGCATGGTGTTCAGAGTTCAGACTTGTTTTTACAGTACATGCACACGGATATAAACCTTCACGTTGGATTGTTTGCTTAGATATCATGACTTGTTCGTGTGTGTGTGTGTGTGTGTGTGTGTGTGTGCGTGTGTGCGTGCCTTGTTGTGTACGCGTGCCTTGTTGTGTACGCGCGCATGCGTGTATTGACTGTGTTCAGGCCATCAACGCCCTGATGATGTACCTGGACACGAATCTGCAGACTATGTACACTGAGCTGTATGAATCAACGTTTGTGATGTAAGCTCATGCGCATGCCCAGTAACATCTAGGGAGCCATGCATTGCCATTGGCAGGAGAAGCTGTTCCTCTATTCTTTATACTGTGGTGTCCAGCGTGAAGTCCTGCTTTTTGTCCTGCTTCTCACCTACTAGTGCTTGTCAGCGGCGCTCACAAGTTCATGGGAGAGAGCCGTGCTCTCCCCCCCCCCCCCCTTCATGTGTTTGTGTGTGTGTGTGTGTGGAGGGGGGGGGGGGGGGGGCAGCCTGCGTATCCATGGTATCCGTGTGCTTATCCCGTCTGTGTATGTTTGTTATGTGCAGTGCCGTGTTCTACCTGTGGGAATGCGTCCTCAACACCGTCAAGACCACGCTTCTTGCTGACTCAGAGGTACTAGTCTGTGTGTGGATGTGGGTGTGCGCACGCGCGCGCTTTTGTGTGTGTGGGTGTGGCGGTTCAATAGCCAGGTGAGTCATCTTTGCAAGATTCCTTTTGAGTCTCTCTCCCTTCTCCCGGGGAGACCCACGTGACCAGTTTGGCAGTGAGCAGCAAGTACAAGTGTGTGTGTGTGTGTGTGTGTGTGTGTGTGTGTGTGTGTGTGTGTGTGTATGTGTGTGTGTGTGCGTGTGTGTATGTGTGTGTGCGTGTGCCAGCTAGTTCGGTTGGTGGGTACACTTATGCCTGATTGTGTTAGGTCTGTTGCCAACGGGCTCGGCTGCTTGGAGGTGTAATGTTGCACCTGCCACCTTTGTTGGTTCCCGGGTTCATATACTTTCTATTTGAAGTATACATACATGTTAACCATGGACTGCTTCTGGCTAGATTAGGCCATGTAAAATATATTGATTGCTTATCGTCAGATTTCCCCGAGAAATCGGGGCGGACGGGAGGTTTTTAATTTAATTTTTTATTATGCATTTATGGCTGTAGGGCAGGTGTTCGCAACCCCAGAGGATAATGGAAAGTGGAACAACCAACGTTACGTAGAAAAAAACGAAGAAAATCAGGCAGCTTTTGATCAGTTTCACTTTTCAAGCCCATAGCAACTAAGTTATGGTTCAGTCTGTGGACTTGACCTTCGAAAATCTACGGCCATGCTGATTAGAGGCTGTAGACCGCAGGACATACAGTACATTTACCAGTACAAAAAATAAAATAATTCGGCGGGGAGGCTGAAAATTTGGGGCGGGCGCGGACGATAAACAATCAATTTTTTTTACTTGGCCTTAACTCTTGTGTAATCAATGGTGCTAGTGAAGCTTTTATCAGATCCACTCTGATTTAGCCACCCACACTAGCAGCAAGTATTACCTTCACTGGGGGCAGGGGTAACTGCAGTTGGATCCCGGGACGGATACCCTGATGCCGTCAATCCTTTTTTCTGCACCTTGTCCTCACCCACTTACTGAGGTGTGGTGAGCCCATAAGTGGGATCATTTTCAAGTCCACCCAGAGTTTTGGGGATTTCAGGGGGTGTCGGCCAATTGAGTCATCTTTCCAAGATTCCTTTTGAGTCTCTCTCCCCTCTCTCCCGAGGAGACTCGCGTGACCAGTTTTGGCAGTGAGCAACAAGTACAAGTGTGTGTGTGTGTGTGTGTGTGTGTGTGTGTGTGTGTGTGTGTGTGTGTGTGTGTGCGTGCGTGTGCGTGCGTGCGCACGCGTGTGGGTCACCCGGTGGGGGGGGGGGGGGGGCATGTGTGTGTGTGTGTGGGGGGGGGGGGGGGGTGCACGTTGCTGCCTCTGCCACAGCCCTTTCTATGCTTCGCTATACGTATACCACATTTGCCAAACGATATGTGCGTGTATGTGTGCATGCATATTGTATGTGCGTATGTGTGTGTGTTTGTGTTTTGCATGGGTTCTATTTAGTTCATCCGTGAACAGCGCAAGGTGAGTCCAGTCACGTTGCATGCAGAACACTGTCATTGATCTTCTGTAGTGTTGCCTATAAAGTAAAACTGAAAATGAAACAGTGCCAGTCTGTACTCAGGTACTCGGGTGCCCGTGTTGTCACCCATGGTCTTCACGGGTAATCAGGTACCTTCGTGAGCTGTGTTCTTCACGGGTAGCCAGGTACATGTACTTGTGTGAGCCATGGTCCTCACGGGTAATCGGGTACCTGTGTGAGCCATGGTCCTCACGG